ACTATTTCAACAGCAAATAAGTTGACTTTTCATTTGCTAAAAGATACAATTCCACATCTTCTTTAAAAAAAGATCTCAGTGTCTGGTTCGTGATTGTAAATTCTTAAACAAGTATCTTTTCCATGCCTTTTTATGACATTCTTCGCCACAAAGCTATAAGTCATCTTTTCTATATTTGTTAAAAGCTATTTTATATAATTCTCTACCGTTTACCTTGAACTAACTCGGAATTGTCTATGAACTTCTTCTACTATATTTCTATGTAGGGCGAAGCATTTTTGCCCTAGGCAGATTGCGCATGCACGAGAAAATTCTAATTCCGGTCGATTTTTCATAGCAACGGACCGCGTCGTAAAAAGGTCCATACAAGATAACCATTCCATTCGGTATTTTCACTCAAAAATCAACTGCGCATTCATTAGCCACTTGTCGGACCTCATTAGGCGTCAAGCCAAAAAATATATTTGCTGCATTTAGTAAGGACCTAAGGCACTCTCCTGTGAGTCATTGAAAACTCTTCTGTTCCCATAGTAACCAATATATATGTTATAGGACATTTCTGGATTTTATAAAGAAGCGAGTGAGAGTCATTCTGTTAATACATGCTTTGAATTCAGAGGCAACTGATCTAACACTCGTTTTTTTTTTTTTAATTACAACCATTTCCATAGTATTTTCATATACAGAACGAGGCAATTATGAGTTTACACTTGTAGACATGTGCCATCTTATTGCATGAAAAGGAGGAAACTATCTTAAGAGACATTTTTGTAAGAATTGAGATTGATATACCTAGGTGCGTCTTATTTGATTTCAATAGGCCTAAGCAAACTCAAGTTATTGAGCGGAAACTGAATTTCTTTTTTAAGCAATAGTGACCTTGACTTGATCACAGATACCTAGGTAGCGATTCCAAGCGGCCTTTTGATATAAGCTACCCATGCACCAAGTTTGGTGCCATCAGGCCTAAGCAAACTTATGTTATTGGGTGGAAACTGAATTTCTATTTCTAGCAACACTGGCCTTGACCTTATTCACAGACACCTGGGTAGCAATCCCAAGCTGCCTCTGATATAAGCTGCCCTAAGCAAACTAAAGTTATTGAGTGGAAATTTAATTTCTAATATTAGTAACAGTGACCATGACCCTTATCACAGACACCTGGGTATAAGCAATCCCAAGCTGCGTCTTGATATAAGCTACCCACACGCTAAGTTTGGTGTCAATTGGCCAAAGCAAAATCAAGTTATTGAGAAGAAACCAAACATGACGCCTGTCCGTCCGCTTGCCTGCATGCCCGCCGACTCTAGCTTTACAATTCCCCTTTTTTATGTTGAAAACCAGTTTAAAATATGGTAGAATATGCTAGAAAAATATATGACATGTGTTTGTTGTACAGATCGGCAATCCTCTTTATAAAGGTTTTTCGAGCCAGCTCGAATATCAATAGTTTACCTTGAATTTCAAACCAGCTCGACAATAGAAATTTAGAAATATAAAAACTGAATTTCAAGCAGATGGGGTTAAATTTTGAGCCAGCATGAAAATCGAAAATCACAATTTACCTTAGTCGAATTAGGTGCTTGAGTCGAATATTGAGCCGTCTCGGAGGTAGACATTTAATATATTCGTGCTAGATTTGATTTTTTTGACAGTCAGATTTCAAAATTTTTACATTAGCTGAATTTCAAACTGGTGTGAATTTTCAACTACTTCAGTTCGACGATAGAAAATCAAGGTTTATAAAAAAAGTTCGGACCAGCTCGTAGAAATAAGTTCAAAACTTTTAAAAGCTGAACTTCGAGCTAGTTGAGGGTAGAACAAGCTGTTCGAAGACTCTTTTGTAATATTGCCGATGTGGGCAACCGCAAATAAGATATATGGAGGAAGCAAAAAGACAACTCATTATGTTCGTTGTGCTTACTCGTTGAAATATTTAAATGCAATGATTGTTTTTCTCTTAGACCATGTCACTAACGTATTCAAAAAGACTCAGGCCTCCATGTTTGATTCAAAGGAGCTCCTGACAGAATGTGAAAGATAACGCATCTGAATGAAAACGTGAATAACGTAGAGATCTTATCATACCTAAAAGCAGCACACATACATTAATGGAAAACTGCGGTCAGAACATGTGGCTTACTTACTATGGCTTTGAAGATCCAGAAGACTCATCACGGATACCGTGAACTGCGATAAAAGTTAGCACATCCTGACAAAACGCCGATAGTGTGATGTCAATGGTCAAAATCGCAAGGGGCATTCGTTTGCGTTATCGAGGCTGCCGTAGCCGGTATGAACAAAACTTAAACGTAAAAAAATGGATGTGAAGCGTTTTAATAGTATTTTTTTTACTGCTTCCTGAAATAAGAGAATCTTTGCTAATACTGCCAATAGTGTTTAGATTTTATTTACTGACGCTTCCGACGACACCATTTATACAATTAAAATATGTGAATAAAGATCGACAAGGAAGAGCAAAGTACACCACCAATGCAAAGTTTCGACAGTTAAAAGGTATCAAACAATTACTGGTGCACAAAAAATAACTCTTACCCCCCCCCCCCCCCCGCGACACGTTTCCTTTTATGGGGCACTGTTAATAAAATAATTCCCTCCATGTCTAATTTTAACAATTGTTAAAGAAAATGACAAAGAAAACACATAAATGAATGGAAAACAACTTAAAATGATGTGACAGGTCAACTTTCTAACATTTTCAGACTGAGAATATCCTAGGTATTGAAAATACCTACTATATATCTAAATTGCAAAAGACTACTCAATTAAGAAGATCAGCTTATAGCAAATTACACTAAAAGTGGCTAATTTTTCTACAGTTATGGTTCTGTTTAATACTTTACTTTCAAATTAAGCATGTTTGTATCAGGGCACTTCATACAAATATACGCCTATTATAAAGAAATCGAAATTTGAAGCTATAATTATAGTACAATGTTTAAATATTTTATCTTTTTGAAAAGAATACAGCTATTTTTGGCAATCATTTTTAACATTGGTGTTTTTATGACCTTCGTGTTTCTCATAAGAATATCCCAAGAGTTTGTGCAGCTTGTAAGACACAAAAATAAAAATACACATTTTTCATTAAAAGAATTTTATTTCTTAACTGGGGAACCAAGTTGATAACTGGCTATTATTTTAAGCCGATAAATGGATAACATTTAAATGTAGAATTTTTTTTATTTTCTTAAATGTTGAACCAATTCGCCAAATGATTTAATAAAATGATTAACCAAAACATCAAATGTGCTTTCAAATAGTAAACAACTGCAGCAAACATTAAAATAGATGACAAAAGTTGGACAAGCAACCTAAACAAATATATAATATGAACTGCTGATTATAAAATATTTTCCAAATCGTGGTAGACTCACCCAGGAAAAAACAGTCTGAAAACCCGTGCCCTTTTATCTTGTGACTATAGTACCATCTAATGTAGGAAATACTTTACGAACCTTAAATACAGGTAAGTAGACAGATATAAAAGTTGACGTATTTTGACTAAGAATTGATAATATGCAAAATTATAAAGAAATACAAAAAAGGAAACTTAAACAGATGAATTTCAATTTGATACATAGTAAAAAGAAAAAACAGCATACATAAAATACTGTATTAAAAGAAATCCAAAGTAAATGAAATTGTATAATCTCACTAATAATTTTCGGCAGTGGATAGATGATAAGGGAGGAGGAGGTAAACCTATTTATACTATAAACATATTTTACTAGCTGGTAAAACTTTTGCTTTGTTTCCTTTGTTCTCGAAAAAATAGTGAATTGCACATTAATTGCATTATTTACTATAATACGGAATGATCTTATTCCCGAAATGAATAACGAAAGGAAAAGAATAAATGCTTTTGTTTGTTTGTTTGTTTGATTTGGTTTAACGTCACACCGACACAGTATAGGACTATTACTAAGGACATTTGGCGACATTCCAGCTTTACTGGTGGAAGAAGACCTTAGGTGCCCCTTCCGTGGATTTTTTTAGGCACGAACGGGCACCTGAGTAGAACCACCGACGTTCCGTAAGCTAACTGGATAGCTTCTCACATGAAAGAATCCAAAGTCCCTGTCGGGATTCGAACCAAGAGCGATGAGGGGCAAGTGGTTTGAAGTCAACGACCTTTACCAGTCAGCAAATGCTAGTGAACCAAATGCTAGTGAACCATCTAGTCCATAAAATATTTTATAAATAAAGTTCATTTATGGCCGTCGTGTTTCTCATAAGTTAATCCCAAGAGTTTGTGCAGCTTGTAAGACACAAAAATAAAAGAACGCAATGTATACGAAAATGAGTAAATTGCGCATGCACATAATTTATTATAGTACGGAAAGATCTTATTCTCGAAATGAATAACGAAAGAAAAAGAATAAATGCTATTGAAGCATCTTGTCTATAAAATATTTTTATAAATAAAAATCATTTATATTTATCATAATAATCTGTGAAATATAGGTATGTATATGGGAAAAACATTAAGTCATAAAAATAATGTGTGATTGAAAGTCAAATGTGTAATACTGGACAGTGATATGATTTTATTCAAAGTTGTTGTTTTTTCTATGTTACAGTAGGAGTTACACCACGTAACCTTTAAATATCTCAAATAATTTTTATTTGCCCTTCAACTTGAAGTTACTTCTATTCAGTTTATTTTGTATACAGCCTTATCGATTTCATTTGAAACACATTGAATATTTTACTTTCAGTGATATAAGTTTTACCACCTTCCCGGTGTCACACCCTTTGAACCAATTACATCGATAAAGTACAGTAAAAAATATCCTGACCTATACATGGACGGACGATAACAATTCATCCGGAATCCAGCAAAAAAGGTATGTTGTCGGTAGCGAGACCGTAATTAACCAAAACTTCAAATGTGCTTTCAAATAGTAAACAACTGCAGCAAACACTTATAATAGATGGCAAAAGATAACATTTTATCCGGAATCAAGCAAAAAAAGGTATGTTGTCGGTAGCGAGACCGTACGAGCATCGAGGAGTGCCAATCGAAGAGGAAGACGATGATAATGATGATATTTGTGCTCTTCTAGAAGAACTGTCGGCTTATCAAGCTCAAAACGAAATAGACCCTGGGGGAGATTATGAAGTAAATATATCAAGCGAAGACGATATTGTCGAACACTTCGAAAAACTTTCTAAACCAACTGATTCTAAAGATATTGCATGTGGAAGCTGTTCCAAGAGTGTGCGAGTAGATGACATGTCAAGTATTAAGAGAGGACACCACATTTCTTTTGCAGGAAGATTTGGTAGGAAGCATTTATTTGGAAAACAATTGCATATGTACCGTCACCATGCAATTGTGAGTGGCGTCAAAACAAATGAACAAAACTGTAGCAAAGCAGAAATAGAACTTGTTCATTTTTGGCATGATGAGAATGGAAAACTATCAATTATAAAAACATCAGAAAATTTAGATTTACGGAAAGATGAAATTTATATAATTGTCTATTCACAACCAAAATACGATCTTGAAATTTGCGCCAGGAGAGCCGAATTAAAATATGAAAAAGTAAGGTTTAATACACTGGATGGCAATACTGAAGAACAGTTTGTAAAATACAATGTAATCGGACAGAACTGTGAACATTTTGCTTCTTGGTGCGTCATAGGTGACGATGAAAGTTTTCAAGTAAGATCTATTCCAGAAACAATAGAGAAAGTTTTGTCAGCAATATTTGCTAAGAGTTGTACGCTTGCTAGATTCATAAAAAAAATTACTGTGATGTCGTCGCAAGATATTGCAGATAAACTTTCCAAAACTATGAACATCCCACTATATGCTTTAGGAATCTATGGCGGCGTCTTTTTTCTTTACTGTATCTTTATGACCTTATGGTTTCGTAGTCAAAGAAATTCAGGAGTGATGTGCCAGAATTGCTTCACAAGAAAATGGAAGGAGTTATGGCTGAAATTCGTACTCTTTATAGGTATATCAGCAGCATCACTACTTATATTTCATTTTGCAATGTCTTTGTTCATACCCGGTGTAAATATACCGATATTTGTGCTTCTCGTTTTAATTTCTGTTGCGCTACAGTGGACCATTGTAAAACTTTGGAAAAAATTACAGTCTCCGTTCCATTGCAAGAAAAAAGTTATTTTAAAATTAGAGAACTTAAATAAGGGCGACATAATTTCAATGAGGTTTGGATCTAGAGCTATTGATCAATTAAAAGAGAAAACAATGATTGTATCTGCAGTTAATCTGGATGACAGCAGCATAACGGGAATATTCTACGCAAGGAAAAGAAATTCTATTAATAGCACTGTCGTGGAGCAAACCTTTACTGTAAATATTAAAGACAATCCAATAAAACTTTTTGACTTGAACAATACAATCACTTACAATACAGATGAGGTACTAAGTCGCGCAAAGTCTAGAATAGGAGAGGTTAAATGGCATATGCTTTCAAATAGGTCTGAACATTTGTGTTTCTGGGCGAAAGTACGACAAAGCATTGCAGTTTCTGGAGTGTCATGTGATCAGGAAGAGATCATTGATGAATCGGACAACACTGACAGTTCCTTGTTTGTTGGTGAACAAGACGTGCACTCCTTAGATGAAATAGAACCTGGGATTGCTTTAAAGGTGAAATCATATTTTATATTCAAAAGATACTGCATTGTTTTGCGTGTATGTGATATTTTCAGTAGAAGGCGATCTAAATTAGAAGTAATCAGTTTTAAAAACGGACTTCGAAGGGTTCAAAAAGAAGAAATAATTATTGATCTCAATGTTGATAGACTAGGCTTGTTGAGATATCACCCATCTCATTGCCACCCGAAAAGTAAATGTGTAGAACGTGCTAGAGAAATTTTGTCAAATGGGACTCTTTTTTTGACTGGATACACTTTTATTGAGGCATGCTTGATTTCTAAACCTTCGGAATTTAAAAGGATGGAAACAAATTATCAGATTCTGGAAGGAGATGTTGTACAATTTAAAGGAAAAAAAACTGGAATAGTTGTCAAAATAGAAAAAGATGCAAATAATGAACATGCGATGGGAGTAGATCTAGTTATTTACAGGTTTTGGAGGGCAATTACTGTTCACCATTCTTTTGATTTATTAAAAGACGATATACGTTTCAGAAGATACTCGTCAAACGCCTACATAGATAGAAACACAATCAAGGAGCGTGCTGTTGCTTTAACTGAGCGAAAGGTTTATGGAAGACGGTGGACTACAAGTGGTTTTATAAAAGAATGCACAGCTATGACACCAGGTAATGAGTTCAGTGTTTTGCTGTTCAAAGATCTACAACCAGGCGCAGTTGTTGTGTTCAAAAGTCTCACAGGGATTGTGACAGGACTATTAAAAGAAGAAAACAATGGTAAAATAATGACTATGAAAAGAATAGTGTATGACCGTGGCATAGGCATAGTAACAATAAGAGAGGATACTGTCGACCTTTCTGTGGATAAAATTTATTGTATACAGTACAAAGCATTCGAAACGTTTTCGCCTATTGAGAGAATGAGCCGCGCAAAAGCTATTGAGGGCAAGACTATCCCTATTCACGAATGGAAAGACTCTGACTTCATCAATGACTGTATTCTTCTAAAATGTGGCCCAAAAAGATTAGTTTACAGTATTGGTGAACTTCAAGAAGGTAACGTACTCGAATATCCTATCAACGGAATAATAACCAGTATATTCAAACCCCCTGAGACACAAACGCAAAGTCACATAGTTGTAGTGACCTGTACCAACAATGAAGTGAGACCAGAACATGTCTTTGTTGACCTTCAGAAAACAAACCTAGTGCAGTGTGAATATGATTCTTCAGTGCGTTGTGATAGAGAAACTAGTAAGGTAAGGGCAATAGCTTTTGTTGGGAAACAAGACAGAGGACTAATAGATAAATTTATTGAACAATGTATCATGCATCAGAATTTAAAGAAATACGAACCTGTTGATGTGGATGATATTCAATTAGGTGATGTTATAGAAATGAATGAAAGAAAGTTAACTGGAATACTAGTTCAGAAGCAAATAATTAGTAGGGAGAAGAAAAAAATGTTCGTTGTGTGCATCGTTAATGGGAAAAACGAATCTTTTGAAATAGACTTACGCCATGAATGTATCTCAGTACGAAAACACAACAAATCGCAATGTCATTCAAAGGAACATTGTATGAAAAGAGCAATTGCTATGAAGGAAAAAGGAGTATGTTGTAAGTCACAAGACGAATTTGTCAATAAATGTATAGAATTATCTAGAAAAGGCACTGTAGAAGCATATATATATGGGGATTTAAAAGAAGGGGATATTGTAAGTGTCGAGAAGACATCGGGTATAGTTATTCGTCTTAACCAAGGAAACGGCTACAAAAACACAGAGTTTGATATGGAATTAGTTATACATGACGGACAACGATTAATAAGCAAGTCCTTCAAGAAACATAATCTTAGAGATACGAATGTTTTAGTTAACATATACTCTGGCGATGGTCACTTTACGATGTATGAGCGTAGACAAAGAGCTAAAGCTATGAAAGAAATTTACTACGAAAATGACAGTATAACAGAAAAAGAGTTTTTAGAGACATGCATCAAAATGGAAAATTCCGGCAAAGCTTTTCTGTTTGAGGACATATATCCAGGAGATGTTATCAATATAAATAAGGAAAAGGGAATTGTTGTTACATCTTCCAAAATATCAAATCTAGAAATTATCATTTGTAAAGATGGTTGTGTTAAGAAGGAAATCCACAAGGTTAATCTGGCAAAGGACGAAATTTACATTCAGAAGTTTAGGCGTGGTACTACTTTTTCTGCTGAGGAGCGCATTGAAAGGGCACACACCTTATGGAGAGATGCAACCAGTGGTACTAAAATTAATAATTTCATTCAGCTGTGTACAGAATATAAATTCTGAACGATGCAGAATTGCGTCAAAATTGAAGTTATTAGCCGCTGTGTAAAATTAAAGTTGATTGGCCAAATAAATTTTTGAGTCCAGCTCAGACTGGTTTATCATGTAAAAAGCTGAAAGCCAAGCCTCTTTTAAAATTTGGATATATATGGAGTTTTGGTTGTTTTCTATTGGTTCTTCAGTCAAACCCTAACATAATACCGGCTGGCCGTGGCGAGCCGGCATCATAGTCACAAACAGCAAATTGGCGAATTCTGCAAAAAATATAAATTAGAGTTTACAAAAAATATGTGTTGACAAACCAGTCTGCCCGTTAACACAGCCGTATATTCGCATTTATTTTTATTTAGGAAATCAAAATGTGAAAACAGAGCCTTAAAATTGAAAGCAACTCTTATAGTCAAAAGGATTATTCGTTGGGTTACTGAAACATTTGTACAAACACCTATTCGGACATAAATTCACACTTACAACTAAAGAAAGATTTTAAACTTGGAGAATGCGACTGTAAACATTCCATGTTAGGATCTTTAAAAAAACAGGAAATCAAACATGATTTACTATTTAAGCAGACATCAATACACAGGCAAAAGCAGTAATTAAGGTCCACTTAAAATAGTTTGCAAGCATATCACATCAGACAGCTTCTAATGACCATAACCAACAAATAGCAAATTAATGTATAAAGACTGGAGCAACACCAATAAAACTATTTAACTGTTTAATCAAATATGTATCATGGATCTTGAAAACAAAATGAAAAAACAAGATCATCAAGGAAGGGTGGCGTTCAATGAATGCAAGACAACGGCTACAAAACACATATCTAGATATGGAATTGGTTATACATCACAACATTTAACAAGAAAGTATTTAGTAAAAGTTAACTTTAGAGATAAGACGTTTATAGTTGAAAAGTACTCTGGTGTTCGTTACTTTACGATGAATACGCGTGGACATAGATAAAGATATTTACCACGAAAATGCATTGGTGGCAGCAAAAGACTTTTTGGAGGCATGCATCAAAATAACAAGTTCCTTTCAAGATCGTACTGTTATGTTTGATACATATTTCAAGAAGAAGTTATAAAAATAAAAGGCGAAGAAGGAATTGTTGTAAAATCTTTCGACAACAAATCAAATCTAAAAACTATAATTTGCAATGCTAGGTCTGTTAAGAAGGAAACCTGTTAGGGACTCGATTTACATTCAGAAGTTTATTGCAAAAGTTTTCTCTAAACTAAATACTCTATGAATCATTGAGATTACCAATAAGAAATGTCAGGATAATCACGTAAAACATTAAAAAGCAAAGGGATAACTTGTTTGATATCTAAAACATTTGTAAATATACATATTCAGACATGAATTTAGTCATACAGTAACTGAGTGAAGATTTGAAATTAGGAGAAAGCGACAATAATCATTCCATAAAAGGATTAGAAGAAACCTAGGACATCAAATATGTTGTACTAATTAAGCATACCTCAAGACACAGGCAAAAGCAATAATTCAGGTGTACCTGAAAAATATGTTTTCTAGCATATCGAATCAGAAAGCTTCTAATGGCAATGACAAACAAATAGCTTTTAATGTGTTAGAACAAATCGACTCATTCCTACGATTTTATAAATTAATAATTAGCTGTGACCGCAAAAGCGGCTACAATCTGAAAACAACAAGAAAGGCAACCATTTACTCTTCTAGCCCCGGTGTAAGCAGTATTCAACATTTAAGCATGAGAATGGTGAAATTTGGAATTTAGGTATATCTCACCTGAGGATTTGGCACAATACAGGGGCTTGGAATATTTGGGATTTTGAAAGATCTGAATAACTTTTACAACAATCAAAGGATTTTGCTTATCAAATGAACTTCAAGAATAAAAGAATTACCCTGCCTTGGCGACTAAGTGAGAGCATTTAAAACATAGACTAGTCATTAAATCTTATCGTGTACATTATTCACATTGTAAAATGACAAGTATGCATTGTTAATAAATGACTGGAACAACAACAGAAACTCCTGCTTAATTATTTTACGGAAGATCTGTAAACTTTCTCCGGTACGAAACAAACGAAACAAAAAAAGACATACATGTCAGAGAATGTGTTAGAAAATCAAAAGAAAATGAAAGAATATACATATATAAAGCAATGCCAGAAAAGGGAGTTTCAAATTTGTGATAGTCTGATAGTTAAGCCTAACAAATAATTAACCCTCTAATGGCCCTCTAACCCTATAAAGCTTCTGAAGAATAAGGACAAGATGTTTTGGCGAAACGAAAAGAGAAACAGATCGCTCAAATTTATCATTATAATACGTTTTAACACTTTTTAAGCCCAAAATTTATAGAAAGAACTGCAAAATCGATGATGTTCATCAGATCATTAGTGTAGTAATGGACCAATATACCAAACAATATGCACAGAATAATATTTTGCATCGTATAAAATTTCTTCATCCCATGATTAAGATCTGTGAGACAGAGACAATACTAGACTATTTAAACGAAAGTGTGCGTAAATAGTGTAAAAAGTGGTATAGTAATTCAATAAAGATTGAAAAAACGTATAAATTATATTCATAAATACAACTCAATAAGTAGGCCGTTATTAAACTGATCAGTGTGTAAATGAATTCTTCGAATTAATTTTACCTTTGTGCCTATCATCAAGCGATTCATTATTTGGACAGATAAATATTGGAAAGATGAATTATTAGACGGTATAAACGGAAAATTCATTTTTTTAATTGACGTTATCGGGCAACTGATTTTACAAAGAATATCAGTCAAAGGTCGGCTTGAAACCTGAAATGTTCAAACCATTTTACTCTGTAATCATTATGGCGAGAAAATTCATGTTTCAGCAGGATGGACAATATTCTAAGATTTGTTGATGAATTTGACACATAGGAAAAAGAATCTGTTTAGAACATTTCAACGCGTTCTATCATTTGTTGGAGAATTCGGTTCCACAATTTATGCCAGGAAGTTCAAAAGTAGATAACATAAGTGGACAATATACTATACGAATGGTTATAAAATATTGATACAGAAGTATTCCATTCATCCATGGCAAAGCAGTGAAATGAAATTAAACAAACATACCAAAAACGAAATTTGGCATGCAAAAAAGGCTTTAAATTGAGATTTAAAGAGAAGAAAATGCTACAATGACTGTAAAAATTTTATTCACGTGCAAAAAAATGAATTATGTTTATGCAAACAAAGGAAGCATGCTTTAGCCACCAATTTAATTTCCAGAACACAAAATTATGCAAGGTCAATAACGATAAAGAAAAGAGTCTGAAAATATGTATCAAATATTCAAATACAAAAAACAGGCATGTGTTTATTGAATATACCAGGAAGTGCAATGTAGAAGATAATTACATTGCAGAGTGAAATAAATGGGAGCTATCTAGCATTCAGGAAATTGCCATGAAAGGAAAAGAAAGTATTTATCTGTTCTGTGTGGTCTTTTGTTTATTGACATCACAGAAACACATTCAAGAGATCAAACAGTATTTACTGTCGCGTTTTAATTTTGTCGTAACCCGAGACATTGAAATTGTAGTATTTTATATTGAAGTCGCCTTTACATGAATTTGAAAAGTACCAGAAGTAATTGAACGAGGAATGTTAAAATATGATGTTTCTGAGCATGTAAAATTTTATTCTTTGTATGTTTCACTGATTTTTGTATTTTGTGCAAAGTATTCACCTCCAGTAGATATACATGTACAAAATGTCAGTCTCTATCTCAATCTTTGAAGGGATTTTTATAGTCATTTTAAGTATATTATGAAGACACCGGAATATTGAAGACCCGAGGTGTTTGCGCTGAACAAATATTTAGCTTTTAGACACAAAAAGAAGTCACAAAGGGCAAAGTAACCTGAATACCCAGGATAGGGATCATAGCGATTTTTTCTGCTTCAGAAAGTCTTGCACAAAAGAAACATTGTGCGATGATTCGTTGCCATGCAGAAATATCACATTGGTCAAACATGTTGCAGTTTCGTTTTTCAAAAGTATTTGAATAGGTTTTGAAAATTGAAAAATTTTTGTCTTGTAAAATTTCGCACTAACATATAGAACAGCTAGTTGAGCGGAACCGGATTTGTAAAGAAAATGTCATACATTACCTTTTTATACTGACTCATGTACTTACTATGTTACATGTACGCACAAACAAGCAGACATCAATGTGAATCGGCTAGTGAATACATGTCCTAATGTAGGCACAAAAAGTACGTTTCACTTTCGAGTACGGACCTGAGACATGACACTACTATTGTCCGGAAAGGTAAACTTGCAGAATCAAGCGGTGATTGATAATTACTTGCAATTTTACGGAGTATTAGCCACATAGATGAATTTTGTGCCGGAATGTAAGTCATTGCACTTGTCAATGATACATAGGGTTGTTGGTGTTAGTCCAAAAGAGCTGCTTACTAGGATCTGGCGCACCCTAGATTCCTCCCATGTCATAATAGATTTGTAAAGCCACTCCATTTGGATTCAGTTAGCTTTTTTAATCTTCTTCCAATGTTCTGTGCCTCTCAAAGACATGAACGTACCGAGATAAAGGGAGAAAATAAACTAAAGTATACGTTATTCCATTCCTTTAAAACACCAGAAAAAGTAAAATTGAAAATGTTGTAGACCCAATTTGATTGAGCCTGTTTATGAATGGAAGTGGTAAGTGCAAGTTACCGTCTAGGACCGACTTAAGCAGTATTCAACTTCTAAACATGAGATGGTGAAATTGGAAACACACGGAGATGTGTCCATATGACGGTTGTCTAAGTGACTTCAATGTGACACTTTCATGCGATTTCATGAAAAGTGGCGTATTGTCCCAAAGTGAAAGAATGCGTGCCCTTAACAAGAAAACAATGGGTGAATAGAATGGAAATGTTAAAGGAGATCAGAAGGCTACGAAGTCTGCATATAACATAACACTTAAAAATACAAATTTGAAAACAGGCAACATATTATATGGTTGGAGCTATAATTCTGATAACTTCATACAATCTGCGGGGAGACAAAGAATTCTTTGTTTGACCTGCAGAAACAATATTTAATCCTTTTATCAACAATAAAATTTAAACTCCAATGAGTGATAATTCATAGCCAATGTGACTTTTATCATGAAGCTGCTATCAA